TGCCATGCCAGACATCATCCCTGCTAACAAACAGAGAATTGGAATTCAAGAAAACCTCTAAAGAAGATGGTGCCACTGAAAGCCACCCTTGCGGGTTCATCCTCTTTGCTCCACTAGCTACAAGATGATCCGCAGCATTAAGTGCTAACACCTTCTCCTGTACATTAAGGCATTGACAGTCACACCCCTCAAAGCATTCAAAGTCAAATGCTTTGTACAAAGTTTCACAATCAACTTCTATAGTCCCTGTGTGTCCTTGAACCTTCTATTTGCCTCCACTGCTTCTCTAAGTGCCATGCATTCTGTCATAAAACCAGAATTGGCAAGTACTGGTGCACAAAAACCCCCCAAGAATCGTCCCTTCATGCTTCCTTCACACCACTCCTATCCCTTCCATCTTACCCTTTCCCTGAAAAGCACCATCACTGTTAATTTTGACTGAACTTGCCTTCCACACCAGACTCCTATTCATTACCACCTCCTTCCTCCTGTAACCCCGTTCCTTCAACTTTGTAGAGTTATAGACTTCATGAACCAATTTGACAGCCCTCTCAATGGTCTTCCTTGGGTTGACCTGCATCCATTAAAGACCTAATAACACTTACTCTTCCAAATATCCCAGCACATGGCTGCTAATAAAGCTTTCCCACCATCACGCATCCCACCTTCCGTTACTAACAACATCTCAAGCTAGCTCATTATACTGCCAATATTCCTTCGGTCGGAAAAAAAATTCAGAGGACATCCAAACTAGCATGCAGTAGTCCAAGGGCAAAAGAAAAGGAGATGCTGTAGAGATTCACTCTACTTCCTCATTACGCACCATGCACAATAGAGATCTAAAACATTTCCTTTTGAATAATGCTTCAGTAGTGGCTAGTGCTCCATTCAGTATTCTCCAGATAAAATGCTTCACTTTTGGCTGATTGTTCAGTCCCCAAATACACCTCTACAACTGTCTCGGGTCTGGTAAGAAGAACCCGACCTTAATTGCACATTCTCTGTATTAAGACTTTTCGCAAACTTGTAACCAGATTTAGCTGTATAGTTTCCATCCTTCGTTAAGGTTCTAAAACAGCTTATCTTCACACACTTTTTAGGAATTGAATTTGCATAATCATCTCAGCTTCCTGTTTAGAAATTTTATCTTTAATCAAGTTCAGATTCCATCGACCTCCCTCAATCAGACTAGCCACTGTTAAAGCAGAATCCTCCTCAGCTGAATGAGTTGATTTTGACTTGATGTGGACTTAATAAGCCATATATAAATGGAAGGATCCATAAATGCCGAGTGTGAGCAGACTTGACTCAAACATAATAAACGATATATATAATTGTGTAAGCACTCACAGTTGAGGGGGAATATTGAGGGAATATTGCTAGGACGTCAAGCGTGAGTCAACTTAAATGAGGCAAGCATGCCAAGTGTAGATGGACTTGATTGAATGTGAACTTAATAAGCAAATTGGGCAAGCACTTACATTTGAGATGATTCACTTGATGTGGGAGCAACAAAATTGGGCTAGCATTCACACTTGAGGGAGGGAAGATTCCTAGAATTTCAAGTGTGAGGGGGGGACTTAATAAATGTGGGACCAGAAATTAGGCAAGCATGCCATGTTGAGCAGACTTGACTAGATGTTTACTTAATGAGTGATGTATAAAATTGGGCAAGTACTCATGAGTGGGGAGATTGCTATGATGTCAAGTGTGAGCAGACTTAACTTGGTGTGGGACTTAAAATTGGGCAAGCACTCACATTTTAGAGGGAGATTGCTAGGATATCATGTGTGAGTGGACTGGACTTGATGTGTGCTTAATAAATGGCGTATAAGTAGAAGGACTCATAAACTCACTATCTTAAGGTTTGCATAATTTTTTTTACTTATAGCCTTGCTGGACTCTCCCCCATTCCAATCCTTTGCCAACAATTTCAGATTGAATGCCTATGTATGTTTTGACATTTTAAATTGTTGATTTGGGTTACTATTTCTTCTCTACAGGTGGGTACTTTTAGAAACCCTTGACAAGGTGTCACCGGGGATTGTCAATTGGAAGATTGCAAACAAGCCTCCAATAAAGATGCCGTTCAAAAAAGTAGAAAACTGCAACCAAGTTGTGAAACTAGGGAAACAACTCAGGTTTTCTCTGGTGAATATTGCTGGCAATGACATTGTGCAGGGAAATAAAAAATTAATCCTAGGTACATTAACCTCCAAATTGTAGAATATCAGTTAATCTATTGACAATTGACAACTGAATGTATTCCAACATTTTAAACTGTCACATACTACAATCAAACTTTCCAGGATTCAATATCTGAACATGAATTAGTAAATCTTGATCTAGTCTAATGCGATAATGATGTTTCTATATTTAGCTTATTTGTGGCAACTGATGCGATGCAATATGCTACAACTTCTAAAGAACTTGAGACTTCACACTCATGGAAAGGAGTTAACTGACGCTGATATTCTAGAGTGGGCCAACAGCAAAGTGAGCAGCTCAGGAAGTCAGAACCGCATGGATAGTTTTAAGGTATTGGATATCTATTTGTAATCCTTTCATTTAGAGCCTACAGCAGTCAAAGAGACTGAAAAAACAATTTTGATATGGATATTTCACATTCCTTGCTGGAATATTTTCTGTTTGGTACGTGATAAGGTACCGTAAAACATCCTTATTTTTTATCAACCTTTTAATGGGCTGCATTCTGACTACTTACAACCAATATATTCCTTTTCTGGTAAATCTTATAAGCGAGTCTGCATTTTGGATTTTAGATTTGTGACAAATGACACCTATTCGGGGATAAGGTACATTTGATTTAAGAGATCTTGGTTTTACTACTGATTGTTACAATGTCTAATTTCAGGATAAAAGTCTGTCGGACGGAATTTTTTTCCTTCAACTTCTTAGTTCTGTGCAGCCCAGAGCTGTCGATTGGAGTCTTGTTAAAAAAGGAGTAACTGGTACATTTCCTTTCAACTCTTTTCATGTTTTAAGTTTTGCGAGATGATGACTGCTTTCAGACTGTTCTGTGAGTTCAATACATTAAGGATAAATACTGCAAATCTTGATATCTGTTATGTGAGTTCCATACATTAAGGATAAATCCTGCAAATCTTGATATGCATGGCATGCTTTCCCGAGGATTCACTTGTCAATCTCATTACACAATCATGTATAAGATTTATGCAGTTTTTGTCTGGCCTGACCTGAGAATTTAGGAAAGTTTTCCTGGCCTTGGTTTTAATTTAAATTTTATCAATATATACTTGCGTCATGCAGATGAGGAGAAAAAGATGAACGCAACCTACATAATCAGCATTGCTAGAAAGCTGGGATGTTCTATATTCTTGCTTCCTGAAGACATCACAGAGGTAGTTAGATTTTACTACACAATGAGTTTCGGTCTGAATATTCATCAACTTTCCCTTATTTTCTGACAATACAAATGGATTTGCCTTTATAAATAATCAAAGCACATAATTTCCGCTTAGTGCTTTTATCTGAACTTCATACATTTTCAGGTGAATCAAAAGATGATCCTTACACTGACAGCTAGTATAATGTATTGGTTCTTGAAACGCCCTCTTGAAGAAAGGACATTGGGAACTTCAGACAGTGAAAGTGGGAGTCTTCTGGAGACTACATCAGATTCAACACTTGATGACTCAGATTCTGATTCATCCTTATAGGGTGCATGTAAATGTGCTTCTATATTTGTATTTGAAAACTCTCATTATCGTTGATCAAAAGATCAATGGTTGACACTAGGCAATTCAGTAGTTTCAGGGGAAAGAATTTTTTTGGATCAAAATCGTCTGAAGCCTACCACCTGAATTTCAGTGAAGTTGGGACCATCACAGTCGTCAATTGAATCAGTAGTTTCAGGGAAGAGAATTTTTTGGATCAAAATACTGTGTTTTAAATGGTAGGAGTGGTTTCAATATCATAAAAATTAGCAACAGAAAGCTTTCAGTTTTTCCCTCCCCAAAGCTCACATTCATCTCCTATTTACTAGTTCTATAGCCATTACAATTCCATTATGATTCAGTTTGAGGTGTGAAGGTTTAGAATGAAAATGATTCAACTATCCAACACTAGGTAGGAATATAGGTTCTCCCCCAACAAATTTGTTCTCCAAAAATTTTGATTAATTCACCGTCAAAATAGAGAAATCTATCTGAAAAATGATTGCAACAGCAGTAATTACGTTTTCAAAAAAAGAGATGTCAGAAAAAAGGAACTCGACACAATGTTTCAATTATTACATGACATAAATTCTCTAGCTTTGATTTAATTGACGGCTATGATATTCCTAACTTCACCAAAATTTAGATAGCAGACTTCAGAGGATCTTGATCCAATTTTCCCCCCTAGGGATTATGAAATATTCGTTGTTGAAATCCTATATTTCCTTTTATCGCAAATTTTATTCTTAAACATTCTAAATTGTAATTGTGAATAATCTTTTATTCTATTAAATCCAGTTTTCTCCTAAAATCCACAGATCTGTTTTGCTTGCATCCTTCAATTTTATCTTGTTTTCCCAACAATAAATTAATCTCTATCACTGGCTGTAAAGTCCTTATCATCGATTTCAAGTTCCTTTGTTAAGATACATCGGAAGTAAAACGGAGGGAAAGTAAAAATAGAGCGCACGATCAAGATCGAACTAAAATGCATGAAAACTCTTTAATGCTTGTTTCTTTCTTTTTTTGAGGGGGTGGGGAGCCACCTAATCCTAAGTTCTTAAAATTAATATCGATTTTACTAATAGCTATAAATTACCTGAGGAAAGTATAAAGTGTACGAATTGAGATCAAGTGCAGAAAGGGATATCTTTTCTGAATGTAACGCATCGACATAACCAAGTTCAAGTGTGAAAGAACCGTGCACTGTTTTTTTTTCCACATCACAAGAAATAACATCACCATCTGGTAAGACAAGACTTGTTATTATAAGAGATAGCATGCAAAATCGAACCCAAGATCTGACACCAACAAAAGCCAGCAGTATGCCCTTAGGCCATAAAGCTATTGGTGAACCGTGCATTCACACGTATCTATTATATATAACAATTTCATAGAGGGGAATCACAACAAAATGCTTTTTCCGTGTTCCCTCAAATGCATCTTTTCATGGTCTGCGAGGACAACTGTAACCATAGCCACATTAGATTACAAAGACAAAGACAAACCTTTCACACTACTTAGCATACAATCAACAATTTTCCAGCTTGATGGCTCTCATCAATTACCATACAAAGACCACAAAAAAGAATTGAATCAAAGATAACAAATGATAACCACATGCCTTACGTTACCTCAAAACTGTTTAGAACTCTCAGCTCTATTCTCTGTAGTATGAACACATATAGGTCAAAGCAGACATAAACAAACTCACACAATCATCCATGTCAAATGCCGATACCCAGCCCATTTGGCAGCAACACGGATACCAATTGCTAAAGCTGCAGCAAGCAGTGGAATCGGAAGCCTCCTCTTTGCTGTTTCAACTTCAGCAATTTCTTTTCCCTCTGAAAGCATTCTTGAATGGTGAAAAATAGCTAGGCCTGTAAAAGAAATCAACACAAGAACCCTAATCCAAGGCTCGCCAATGGCAGCAAGTACAGCTGCAACAGGCATTGTTGATGAAACGTTGTCTCTCCTTTTAACAAGTCTTGAAAAAGCGTACAACCCTACCAGTAGTGTCCAGAACAATGGTTCTGAGATACAGCCTCTAACGGCAGCATAGCCAATTAGGCCTGACACAGTCAACACATACGGTTGGCTGTTGATGCAATGTGGAACAGTTGCTTCTGCAACTGCTAAAACAATTGATGCCAGCACAATGATGATGGTGAGATCTGGTACCGGAGCATATGCAACTATTCCAGAGTAGAAAGCTCGAATTGTGTATAATGCATTCTCAACAAACCTAATTGAGAAAGTGATAGGATCCCCGATGAAATGGAAGATCACAGCCAAAATGTATTTCAGAACATATCCCATGAAACGAACAATCCCAAGTGCAGCATTCCTCCAGTTTGATAGTTCAAATAAAACAGCTCTCCAAGCATAAACAAGGAAAGCCAGTGCTGTAATTAACATTGAATCAAAACATGTTAAATTGCTAATATAGTAGAGTAGTTCGAATCATTTATCAACACATGATCAGGATGTCATTCATTAGAAGCTGGGGAGATAAGCTTCTGATTTTAAAAGTTGCTCAGTTTTCTTATCCTAATACTACAGCGTCCTGTGCAGAAGAGGATCCGAATTTAAGAGAGAAAAAACAGTGGGGTCACAAGTTTCCAAATGGCTACAATAAAACATAGTACTCTCGAAGTCTTAACTTCAACAAATCAAGGTTTCCATAATGATGGAGAGAAGTAACATCCAAGAAGGAAACACCTGCATACATGGACTAGCCAGGATGCCAGGTATATGTCAACAAAGTACTAAGAAATAGTTTATAGATGCAATTTAACATCTTTCTCTTGATCATTTCTCTGTCAACTTAAAGCAAAAACAGATTTCTTTCAATATAGTGAAATGGGGATGAATCAAGTCCTATAATATTATCTTTCAATGTCAAGAATCCTCATTTGCAGGAGATTGATATACTAAGAAAGAAGAGACAAACATGTTCAAAAATGTTCAGAAACATTAATGAAGTCAAAGCACACTTAACAAATCAAAATTTAGTACTCTAAATGATTTCATCCATCTTCTAGCATGTCTTTATTACATAAGAAGAGTAAATTGCATCATTCCATATATCCCTTCCTTGCAGTTCCAGCTGGAAACAGAGGTGTTCGATCCGACTTCCCAATAAGCATAAAGGATAAAGGCTCTCTCTCCACACACACACACAAAGCAATAAAGTCCAAATGCTTTAAACATGCCAGTCCAAATGCTTTAAACATGCCATCGCATGCCACTACATTATGAAAGTATAGAAATTTTCTCGTTTCCCACATCCTAATATCCACCGCTATCAAATGAAATCTTCACAACAAGCCAAACTGCATTATCCAAACTCGAATAAATATCTACCATTTGCAGATAATCTAGGCAGGGTAAGATTTCCATTTTCAACACCAAAATACGCGATAAAATTACTGAAAAAACAAATTTTGAACCAGTTAAATGAATGGCCTAAGTTCGTAATTTTTCTCCCTTATTCAAGCATTTTCCTCATGAGCTAACGCATAAAACCGAGCAGAGTCACAAAGAGATAAAAGAAGAGTCAAAAAAGAATCACCAACCTACAAACCACGGCCACCGAACAGGACGGTCAGGAGCTTCTTTCGTCAAGTACCTAAACCGCTCAGGCATGGTACTTTGGGCTCGAGCCTCCTTCTCAGCCTGATCCAAATCAACACCAGAAGCTTCGCTAACTCCATTATCAAGCCCACCTTCGGAGCCCCTTGCGTTCGCAGAAACCCCTAGATGCCTCCCCAGCGAAAATCTAGGCATTTTACCTGAAATTCTAATATAATTCCATCTACATTGAGGATTATATGATTGGGCTTTCGTCGAAAAAGAGGGATTTGAAATTACAGCGTGACTTAGACGGACATGGGGATGGGAAAAGGAAGAGACCTTGGCTAGAGCATAGTGTTTGAAGGAAAGGCTTGGAGAAGAAAGAGCTGGGGTTGTAATCGACATGAAAAGAATGACTCGAGAGTTAAGATGAACCAAGAAATATGAACAAAGCTTAGCGCACTAGAAATGTGAACAACAAGTGAAAGACTTGACGATAGCAAAGAACCAGAAGGAGATGGGCCAGCTTCAACACGAACGGTGGCGTCTGGCATATTCGAGCTGGGCTACTATTTTTTAAATTGAATATAAATTAAAGAGAATTATATTAAAATTCAACGCAAAAAAATTAATTATTATAAAGTTTATAATAACTAAATTAAAAAGATATAGTTTAATTATTATTAATTTTATAATAATTAATTTTTTTATATGAGATCTGAATTTAATTCTCCCTATAAACTATAAAACTATTCTCTTTTAACTGATTAATCCTCACAAATTATTTTTCTGAATTTTTATATTACTTTTTATAGTATAGTAATTTACTGATTTTTTGAAACAATTTTTATAGCAATTTTAAAAAATGATATTTAAAAATATTGAAGTGCTAATTTGCTCTTAAATATTTTTTTTTTTTTGAAAAAATTGGTGAAAAAGATCAAGTTTAAAGCTAAATTATGCTTAACGACTAAAGCACATTGAAGGACCTTTGTTTTTTTGGTACATAAAGGGGCAAAGTCCAAATGAAATTAGACTGAAACTAACCATGGGCAAGTCAAGCCCAATCTATCCCTATACAGTATATCAAGTAAGCCTTAAGCCTTCAGGAGGCTCACTCAAAACATGTAGTCTACATTCCTATGAGAGGCTCTAATTAGCCAACCAATCCACACTAAAATTCCCTTCCCGATAAGTATGTGTCACGCGGATATGCCAGCTAGCATCAATCATAGTCTGGATTTGATGAAGGAATCAATTCTTCACACAAGAACATGACAACATCTGCTTCAACATATGTACAAGTGCAGTAGAGTTAGATTCAGTGATAACCTTCCTTAGACCCAAACTTTTTAACAAGAGGAACCCAAATCATAAGCCCCATAATGCCGCCTCTAATGTTGAACACCTACCCACTCAATTAACAAAACCCCCTTTCCAGTCACTAGTAGAATCTTATATGATCCCTCCACAACCAGCGTCCCCAAGCCACCCCTTAGCAGCACCATTAATATTGAGCTTTAACCAGCCCTCTTTAGGTGGTCACCACCGGATATCATCCCAATGCTTAAGACAAATATTGGCATTCATATCAAAAGCTTTCTGAATCCCCTCAACAAATTACAAAATACTCACAGCAGAAATCTCAGAGGAATCAAAGTTAGGATCAAACATCATTTTGTTCCTCTAAGACCACATGAACTACATAGCCACCCCAAATATCAAATGCCAATTACACGCTTCCCCCATCAAACTACCACCTAAATTTTTTTGAAACCATTCACACAAATTTAAATGAAAAAAAATCAAAAAAATGCATACCTCGTATCAGCTACTCCCACACATTACGTGCATAAGAACAATCCGTTAATGCATGCAAACAGGACTCCTCAACCAAGCCACACCTATAACAAACAGACGACCCAACAATACCATTAAACCTTCGAGTAGACGTTAGTAATCGATCTGAAGCAGCTAACCATAAGAACATTTGGATATGTCTCAGACCCTTTCAAGACTAAATTTTCATACAAAAATTGTTTCCCTCATGTTGGTCAAACCCACTTAGATGCTTGTACATTGTAGCAACACTAAAATCATCAGAACCACTACTTAACCAACGAATTCTATTTTCCCCTATAGACATACAAGGAGGTAGTGTTGCTTGAATTTGGCCCACTATATCCTTAGGTAACCAAGCCTTTAACTCCTCGAATCTCCAACCACCCTTCTCATCGACATAATCCTTGACACGCTTCCATAATTCAAAAGGTGTAGGAACCATCAAGCATTAGTCAACTAAAGGTGTACCGTTAGCCACCCACCTATCAACCCAGAAGTTCACTTTACTCCTATTATTTACCTCCCATCCAATGTGTCGTAGTATACACAGCCAAAGCTCAGCCATTTTCTTCCATAAAATAGAATCGGTACATTTAACAATGCATTGTTGATCTAATAGCTCGCTTTGCCCATATTTACTTATAAGGACTTAAGAACTTAATTTTTGTGGGGATACAAGTATCATCTATCCAATCTTACTTAATATGACCTCATTTATCACTCTTAAATTTTGTAACCCAAAGCTTCCCAATGCTTTCGGGCGATATACAGTTTCCCACCCCATTAGATGAACCTTTCGCCTATCACGAGTGGACCCCCAAATAAAGTCTCATTGCATCCGTTCCAATTCCTGACAGACTCTTACAGGTAAAATATCATGTTGCATGGTAAAAACAGGAACTTCTTGTATAACTGATTAAACTAATGTAAGTCGGCCAGCTAAAGACAAACTTTGTGCCTTCCACCTACTTAGTTTCTTTTATACCTTATCAACAAAAAATTGATATTGACCTCTAGTTCTTTAACCATCATTTATATATGAGCCTAAGTAACGGCCAACTCTGGAATTGGTTGAAAACCATAACAACGTACCAATTCCTCACATTTTGCCTGTGAAACATTTTTAAAAAACGCCACAACTATCTTTTAGGGATTTATATTTGATCGAATATGTCACCAAACTTTTTAACTACTGTAGCACGGCCTCCAATTGTTCCACCTCCGCCTCACAAAATAATAATAAATTATCAGTAAAAAGCAAATGCGATATTGGAGTCCTATGCCTCCCTAACTTTATAGGTTTCCATATGCCTACCTCAATCTAATTAGCAATCATATGAGATAATTTCTCCATGCCCAAAACAAATAAATATGGAGACAAAGGGTCCCCTTGCCTCAATCCTCTAGAAGGTTTAAAACTATCTAACTTTGCACCATTCCAAAGTAGAAGGACCTTTATTTTATTCAGAAAATGATGAAGGGAATGGATGAAAATGCCATTTGTTATTGGGAGAAAGCGTTCTAGTAAATGTTAGACAATTTTTGGCGACTTTGCTCCTCCAAGCTGTCTTCCTTACTTTGCCATTTCACTTCCATCCATATAAATCACTCTCAAACTCGCATTGCATTATTTAAAGAAAACATTCCTCTCCAGATTCACATTTCCCTTTGCCATTTGCTCTCTTGCACTAGTATAACTTCATGCAGTCGTTGGAGATTCACAAGCCACCCATGGCTTTTTCACCGACACTTCCAATCTCCAACCCCCAATCCAATAGCGATGCTATAGCTTCCCAATCTCAGCCTCTAATTGCTATGCCTGCTTTTTGATCCTTCATTGCACACCTCTCCTTTTCTATCCGTCAGGGATTCTCCCTGTAACATCCTGATTTTTTAAAAAAATGATAATAATAAAAATTTATATTATTTGAGATTATTCAGAAATAATAATATGGTTAGAAATTTAATTATGAATTAAAAAATTAGGTTTAAAATTATATAAGAAATATTTTAAGATTTAAAAAAAATTATGTGTGTGTGTGAGTTAAAAAAAAAGAAAGAAAAGAAAAAAAAGGGGGCACTGTAAAAGTCCCACATCGATTAGATGTGGGAAGGTGAGGTGCCTCCTCACATATAAAGGGAGGAGGCACAGGCAAGGAGACGCAGAAGGAAGCAAAAAGAAATATTTTTGTAATTTGTGAAAATTGCAACTAATGGCCCAAGGTGCAATTTGTGAAAATTGCAACTAATGACCCAAAGGTTTGAATAATTAAATTCAGACCTATAGTTTTTTTAATATAATTGTGGGACCTAAAATCTTATTTTTATATTATTTTTCTCTCTTCCTCTCACGTTGCTCCGCGTCTTCTCGCAAGGGGGGATTATTTTCTTTTTCTTCAGGTATGTTCCAACTTTCCTATTTAGATTAGCATTTAAAAAATTATTTAAGTACAAAATTAATTTTATAGTTATTTTCTAAATAATATTAGCTTTCTAGTGATATGATTATTTTATAGAATAGAGTAAATATTCTGATTAGGATTTTTCTATAAGATAGTTAATCTGATGATATGATAGATTAAAAATATAGGTTAAAACTCTTAGGGATATAATAAATATTATAGAATATTTTCTTGAGGTTGAAACTCATGTTTAAGAATTTTTGAGTTAAAATCTAGATCTATATGGCTGAATTTATGTTGAATCTGAGATGCAGGGATGAACCTCTGATTATTAAATATTTATTTAAGTATGAATAGGTATTTTTGAGGTTATAGAAAGGTGATTTGAGGCTTCAGGATAATTTTAAAATTTTTAATTTATTTTTGGACGAATTTTTAGAATATAGAAGGATGAAGTTGTGATACTAGAAGTAATTTGAGGCTCAAAAATAGTTTATTAGGGTACGAGAATTTTAGAAAAGAATTTGAAAAGTTAAATGAGGCATAAATCTTAAATTAATGTTAATATGGATTATAGATCTAAGACTTTCTAACTCTTTAAATTAGAGTTATTTATTTTAATATAAATTAATATATAGTATTATCAAATAACTATGCAGATTGTGTTGACAAAAATAATGGTGAAAGAGGAGTTGTGAAGGGGAACTTGTTATTCAAGACACAAGGTAACCATTATTAATGTGTTGTGACGGGTGTGTTTGTGAATGGTTATGTGTTGTTTTATTATTTAGAAAAATTATGAATTATTGAAATAAATACTGTATATACTTGTTTGAAATTATTGCCAAGTGGGTTAAAAATTTATTTTTGTCTATCATGATGAGATATTATTGTTTGGATATATTTCTGTTTGGATATTTTAATGATGCATGACTTGTCAGGGTATTTTAATGTATGGTGTTAATCAGAATTTCTGTTCGGTTAATTATTACTACATGGTAAGCCCTCATTGGACCCAATGAGTGGCGTGTCGCTTGGTCCAACTCACCTTTGATCGGGTGATTTGGCGTCCGAGCATGGCCAAAGGAGGATATAAGGTGCAGTCATGCAATTAAATACTTGTTTGGTTTGTTTGAAAATATTGTTCGGTTAAATGTTTTGTGTGCCCATTTAGCAATCGCATGATTAGTTACATCCGCATGCATCATTACATATTAATTTTTGATTACTGGGACTTTTAAGTCTCATTCTCCGTGGTTAACATTTTTACAAGAGCGAG